CAATGCAATCCCGCCCCCAACACACCGCCCTCTTCATTTCTGATACTTGCTTGAAATACCGCCAAGCGCAAGACATCGGTTGGGTCCTGTGACCAGACCCGCCGAGCATGGTCCGCGCGCCCCGTGCTTGTTGTCGCCGCGTTTTGAAATTACGTCCACTCACACTACGCTACGGCTTACCCCAAACTTCATAGTGCCATTGGCTACTCACTGACACACGACCACACCACACACACACACTACACACACACTACACCACGACTATCAACATCCACACTACACATCACACACACACACACCACAACACACACACACTCAACACACACACACACACACACACACCCCAGCACCACACACACACCACACTCACCACACCACACACACTGAAAGTGTTATGTACACCCTCTCTGTTTGTTGTTTACTATTTCCGCAGCGTGAGTCATCATTGACGCCACCTTTTCACATAACATGACGTGTTGCTAATAGCGAGCGCATTTTGTCTACTGCGGTTCCCCACTACCTGACAGTAGGAGATAGTTGCATAGTTGCCGCTCGCTCCGCTCACGGAGAATGCTCGCGCCTGCGCTCCGCGCAACCAAGACGGTGTGGGCGAGTTTGAAAGTTACGACTTATTGCTGCCCGCTGGGAGAGATAAAATACCACATCCGCTTCCCGGCCCGCGTGCGGCGCATCTTATTAATTTGAGCGATTGCCCTCTCGTTCAGTACAATTGAGACAGCCAGCTGAACCCACAGGATCCGGGTTCATGAGGGCTCATTGGCGAGTCCCTACGATAACAAACAATCCATGTAGGCTATTAACTCTCACATCAGGTATGTGATATACCAGACAGTCAAATCAAACTCACATCAANAGGGTTACGTTGATCATACTCCGCATATTTGTCCGGGTGTTTTGATTTCAAGTGGTGGAGTAATCCCGAAGTGGTGAAAGTCTTTGCAGTTACACCCCCTCGAGAAATGTCAGCTGAACACGTTTTACAAATCGCAATCCGCGCCTCTTTCTCTGATATTTTGAAATATCTCCAAGCGGCAGACATGTTGGCTGTGAGCCAGCCGCGAGCATGGTCGCGCGCCGTGCTTGTCGCCGCGTTTTGATTACGTCATCACAACAACACGTTAGCTTACCAAACCTATAGGTGCATTTGTTGTTGTTGAAGGCCTGGCTGTTACAGTCTTTATTTACACTATTTTGTTGTAGGCCTACTGGCCTAGATGTTTATTTTAAAGCACCTTGGCTTTGTTCTGAATGCACTTGACTTGGAATTAATGTACTGTATGCATTCAAAAGTGCTGAATAAATGTTTTNAACTGTTTAAAACACATGCTCAAAGTAAGCCGGATTTTTCCGATGTGTTTATGTGGATTCAAAAATCGTAAATAATATACAAAATAGAGGAAACCGATCTGATCGGAGCAACTGTGACAAATAATCCAACTGAAACCAGCATGGACAATGACTATGTTTTAAAAATGCGCTTCTCCAGAAAAGCCAGGTTTGGACACTTTACGGGCAGAAGAAACATTTCTATTAAAGACAGAATTATACATTTCTGTCTTTTTATGCCTTTAATAGCTACTAACTTCAATCTTTATTAGAATGAATTAATCAATTTTTTTTTTTATTTTATTGTAATGTAGAGACAAGGCTTTTAGTGACAATCATGTATTGCTTTACAATTATATGTTGGGAACCACTGCCTTAGTTGATGCATTAATTAAGGTATTGTTCCTGCATTAAGTCATGCATGAGATACCATTAATCCTTGTACATTACTGATAGGTCATGACGTTTTTTTTGCATGAATTCATGATGATTCATGTACCCTTACCATAAAGTGTTACCCACGTTTTTTATTGTGTCCATGTAGGGACTTTAACTGGTGCTCGTACGAAGCCAAGCCCCTAAAGACTGAGCTACTTATGCTGAATGTTAATCCCATTGGAGTGGTGCAGGAACCACTCAAAGGATTCCTGAAACCTGGAGATGAGTCAGCATTTAACAACTCCCGGTTCCCTTCCCTCATCTTGAAGTAAGCAGATTTGTTTTACGTGTTTTCGTAAGACGCCTGAATCTGCGGTTAACACAAGATGAAAGATTTTCACGTTTTGTTCTACGACATCAAATATGCCAGTAGATACCCCACTCATGAATGTCAGAAGCTTCTAAGTGTAAAAAAAAAGGCGGTTGCTAACAAGCACTTTAATAAACTACCAAACGTCATCACACCGAGCATTAGCCGCCTTTAGCTTAGCTGTGTTGATGGAGGCCTACCTACCGTGATGTACTTTTTTACTTGTGGTGGTTGAATTCACGCTGCACAATTCACACAGTGGTGTTAATATGGGGAGATGATCCTGCTGAACAAAAGTTTTGGCCAAAGAGTTTATTTTCTGCAATAATTTTTTATCAATGGAGCCCTTCATGGTCGGAAAATAAGTCATCACTGCAGCGCTCTGTACAGGTCATTATTATTCATCTTCATAGAGTAATAGTCAAAGTATTTCTATAAAGCTATTACCTGCAAGAGTCAGCATTTAGCGTCTGAGATATGGATGAAACATTCCTCTTCCTCCTCCTCTACCTCCCCCACTGACCCCCGTCACTTCTGCAGCAGCTTTGGCCGACGTGTTCATCAGATCTCCAGTGCCAACAAGCTCACAATGAAAAATACCTCCACATTTCCCCGGTTTCACAAACACTGTTTGGAACAAAAAGCCCTTATCGGACCTGCGTATTATTCACCGTGTTAATTGGAGGGAAAATAAATGTATTGTGCATCTCGTCGGTGCTGTTAAAACAAGATAAGAACCACGTAAGCAGGTTTTCAGGCAGTGGCTATTGAATGAATTGTTTAACAGAGAAAGTGTGAACAAGTTGGAAACTGCTGTTTTCCTCTTTCTGCTCACGTGACCAATCCGGCAATCCCCTGGTAGATGTAATGTATTGATTTTCACTGATTATGGAATTACACATTCAGAAACAAAGGCCAAAGATATATAGGCATGTTGAAATGATACACAATAACCACCTGAAACGAGCTGGTTGCGTGGTTTCCCCTCAAAAGCATTTCCAAAGCTACACTTAGCAAACTGCTTGGGGGACTTTTAATCGTTAGCTTATATTTTTCAATTTATGCCGAGCATTTCTTCAGATTCTCAGCAACCGTGAAACTTTTTTCCACCTCACCTCACCTCTCCCTTTTGTTCCTGACACGCACACGCTACAGTGTACCTGACAGCTTTGCATGAATTAACAAAAAGAAAACAGTTTTACCTAATCACAGGGTATTTATAACGTCCTTTCTTCCTTTTCTTTTCCCCAGTAGGTTTTAGAAAGATCTAAAGGACTCAAGAATCATACAATTGTCAAGTGGTAAACGTATGGCGCAGTGGGTTGTGCGTTGGTGTTCCGATCAGGGGGTCACAGGTTCAAACCCCATTACAGTCAGCATGTCATTGTGTCCCTGAGACACTTCACCCCAAATGGCTCCTGTAGGGTTTGCCCACATTATTGAGTATGTAAATTGCTTTGGATAAAAGCGTCTAACAAGTAACATGTAATGGTAAAATAAAATGTTCTCAAGTATTGTACAATTCTGACTAACAATTCTTAGTCCAGTACATCTGCATTTGTCTGACAGCTGCAGATTAAACTACCCAACACTATTATATATTACCACAGCCATCTGCAGTGGTAAAAGGAAACATACACATTAATGCCTCAGGAATATAAATCCAAAAACGTTGAATGCAATTGTAGAACGGCAGGGAGATTTCACTTTACAAAAATACTTTTTAATTCTTAATTCAAGCCCGCATTAAGTTGATAATATTAACACTCTTTTAATTCAAGGTTTTGGATAGGATCTGATTACTTCTTCCACAACTGCAATTTTTCTTAAACTTTTTTCTTTGTTTATTCCACCCATGGCAGTTATTTTAAAAGAAAACGTGTACACTTTACAAAACATGTAAACTTATACTGGTTCTTTTTTTTTTTATAGCGCATGGTGGAAAGGAGCAGGGAGAAGAACATATTTTATTTGACCTGCCCCTTCTTAAAAATATAACAACAAAAAATGAAATAACCATAAAAAAGTAAAATAAAAGCAATATTCTTTCAGTCACAGTTGCTTTCAAATACTGAAACATAAAACCAGAACACAATCAAAAGTCAACTTCATACTGTCTGATTATGCTTTCTTTATACATTTTCTTAACATAAAAGTTAAAATCATCCCATACAATAAGATATAAAGGTGTGTTATGTTAAGGGGTTATACGCAAACATGTTTGTGTGCTGTGAGGCGACACGCCACAAACCATAACCTGGTTCTGCAGCGTCGACAGATGGAAAAGGCGGTCATTTAAAGTAGTACAGACAGAATTAGATCATGACTCACATTAGTGAACTCTTGATATGTGTCTATAATTACTTTCCACATCAAATCTGCATTGAATGAAGGGAATAAACAGCACAATGGTTCGGTAGAGGCCTTACTGACTGCTATCACCTCTGATACCATCGACTGGAGAGAGCAGCGCCACAATAGCAACCTGTTTGTAACACAGAGCATGAATAGCTGCTTTAAAAGTAGAAGGGTTACACAAATACAGGTTGAAACAACGTGACAACACAATGCTATGAGTTTCACTGTCTGGGCGCCATGTCGGGAATCCAATTTGTTTAAAGGTCCCGTATTATACTGTTTTTCTAAAATATATTATAGCTCTCAGATATATACTGTACAAAACATGTCTCTGAAGTGTTTGGCTCCAAACACCAAACAGATCATTGCAGCATCCCATAATCCCCTCTGTTTCAGCCCAAAAGTGCTAAATGCTAACGAGTTGCTGCTGTGTGGCGTCCCAAATCTGATCAGCTCATTTCCAGACAGGTTTTATTATAAATGGATCAGGACAAAAAGAGAGAGAATATTTTTTCTTGACATTTTCAGAATCTCTTTCCACAGAGGGGACACGTGTTGATGTAGAAAATACAAGAACAAGTGAACTTTGCAAAATAGGTGGTTGTTCCAAACGGCCTCACTGGCAAAGAGCAGTAGGGCATGATACAGTATATGTAGAGAAAATGTGAACATATTTCTTACTTTCTTACCAACTCAAGCTGGGAACTTATGCCCAGCTATTGGTGTGAAAGTCAGGTAGTCGGTACTAAATGCAAAAGAAACCCAATTATGCGTTTTGGGGTTTTCTTTTTCCTGTAATGTGTTATACAGGTTTTGCGCATGTAAATGGTCTGCAAAGGCTAAAGTCTCTAATACGCCTCTATTGGATTCCTTTGTTTACTTCCGCCACATAGTGACATCACTATGTAACAGTTGTGCTTCTATTGGCTAGTGCTCAAGCACATTTTACCTGATAAGGGGCGGGACATCTCTAAGCGGTTGACCAATCACAACAAAGCCGGCCAGCTGGCCAATCAGAGCAGACTGGGCTCTGGTTTCAGACAGAGGGTGAAAAGAGGTGCTGCAGCACAGACAGTATGAGAAGAATAAAGAGCTTTTTGAACATTAAAGGTCACCTATTATGCAAAATCCACTTGTTCATCTCTCTTATACATCAACATGTGTCCCCTCTTCTTCATGTCTCTTCTACATCAACATGTGTCCCCTCTTCTTCATGTCTCTTCTACATCAACATGTGTCCCCTCTTCTTCATGTCTCTTCTACATCAACATGTGTCCCCTCTACTTCATGTCTCTTCTACATCAACATGTGTCCCCTCTACTTCATGTCTCTTCTACATCAACATGTGTCCCCTCTTCCTCATGTCTCTTCTACATCAACATGTGTCCCCTCTTCCTCATGTCTCTTCTACATCAACATGTGTCCCCTCTCTTCATGTCTCTTCTACATCAACATGTGTCCCCTCTACTTCATGTCTCTTCTACATCAACATGTGTCCCCTCTTCCTCATGTCTCTTCTACATCAACATGTGTCCCCTCTGTGGAAAGAGACTCTGAAAGTTTCAGGAACAAAGATTCTCTCTCTTTTTGATCCATTTCTATAAAAACCTGTCTGAAAATGAGCTGATCAGATTTTGGCCACTTTATGATGTCATAACGATATTTTGTCTTGTGTAACCATTAGCTAATCAGCAACCAAGGTAACCTCCCCCCCCTTATCACCTGAATCTCCTCCTAGAGCACCATTGAGTTCTTTGTAACCAAATGTCTCTCAGAGGGGCGTGGGGAGGGGCTCCTTATTTTCATCTGAAGTAACAGACAGAGAATCAGCACTTTTGAAATGGGGCTGAAACAGAGGGGATTATGGGTAATGCTGCAATGATCTGTTTGGTGTTTGGAGCCAAACACTTCAGAGACATGTTCTGTATATATCTCTACGAAATAAATTTATTTAGGGGTCTGAACAAAGAGGGAGCGTGTCTGCGGAGCGAGACAGGGATAGAGGGGCGGCAGTGAGGTTGCGAGGACGGGCGCGGCAAGAAAAAAGGTGTAGAAGAGAGCGAGGAGCGAGAGGCGAGGGAATTGGGCAAAGTGTGATTTCACAGTGTGGAGAGCAGCGGAAAAGGAGAGGAGAGCGGGTGTGGACGGGAGGTGTCGGGAATGGGGACTCCTATTCGATCGGTCTCTTATTGGATCGTGTCTGACTGTTGCTGATAATTTCTTGAGTTCGTGCTTTGCTGTTATGTCTAGTTGTTAGTCTGAGGCAGTAACGGGACTCCCCGAGCGATTCACAAGTCATGAGATTTCACTCGGGTCTACGTATTCGCGCAAAGAGGGTTTTGTGAGGGTTTGGGTTACTTTAAGTTTTGATGGTAGAAGAAGTATCCTAAGGGTGAACTAAACATGCTTATGGCTATATGAAAGAACAGAGGACTTCCTGTAAAAAGATGACGAACGGCAGGACGTCAAGGGCGATGTACATGTATATGTTTGTTTATTTTTATTCTGGTGATAATATGATGTCATCAGTTAGTTAATATTTTATTTCCAGAGACACGACGGGGAAAGGCTCCCTGTTGATCTCGTCGCCTAATAACATATCGGACACACAGGTTTATTTTTACGATACGTTCTCTTTCTATAAGGTATCATATGTTTCCGGCCATTGATACCTCGTGTTCACCAAAGAAGATCTGTTTTTTTTTATTTAGTACGAATTGTTTTATGGATCCCATGAAATACGTACAGCATGCTGTTAAGGTATAAACAGACACCATATGAATCAACGTGAAACTTACCCTAATATACGTTTGACATCTCGTTACTTACTACGGATTTGAACAATCGCCACTCGATCGTTCAACTTTACAACACATCGCAAATAAGATGTCCATGAGACGCAAATCAAACAAATAAACATAATCACGATTACACTGTTGCAGAACACTGACACATAAAAACACTTACCTTACTTAGCATTTGTAGAATTTGACTGGACGAACAGAGGACCCACAAATAAGACCTAGCACATTATGACGTTCGGACGTAAGGTTTCTAGTAAGAACGTCCCGGCG